TTGGTGGGTTCAGCTTGACTGTTTTTCCTTCCTGAGACTTGAGGACACCTTCCTGTCTCAAAGAAAGCAGCCTTTCCAGGGCTTTCTGAGAGCCAGGGGTGGGGGAGGCGGGGGCCTCGGCTGAGAGGGAGGGGAAGGTGGGCGAGGGGTGGAGAGGAGGGGGAGGCCATCGAGGAAAAGAAGGCAGTGAGAGGAGACAAGCCCAGCTCCGGGACTCTTTAGCCGGCCCATGGGAGCGGGAGGGGGTGTATTCCTTGGGAATTCAAAGCCCGCCTCCCTGACCCCATCCTCGCCCTGCCCTGGCTGCTGCCTGGGGGACAAACTGGGGTGGGGTGGGGCTGGGGGGCAAGAGATGTTCCCACGGAGCTCCCAGCTGGTCAGCGCCTTTTCTGCTCCCAGCTCCGGGCCCATCCCTCTCCCCTCTATGGTTAAAGGCCTGTTGCCAGTATCTTCTGAGCTTCCGGGCAGTGTGGGCTTTCTGCAGACAGGATGAGCCACAGATCTGGGTTCGAGGTCTGCCAGCCCTCCTAGCTGTGTGACCTCAGGCCAGCCGCTGCTCCTTTGGGAGCACCACCTGTGAAACGGGTAAATCAACCTTGCAGGGTGGCGTGCAGACTGAGGGACGCAGCATGAGGCCTCTTGGTCCTTCAGCAGCTAAGCATGCGCTAAGTGCCAGTACCGTGCAAGGCACAGGGATGGGGCCGCGTGGTGGCAGCTAGAGGTGGGGCGGGCAGGGGCGCTGGTCCAGCTCCAGGGCCTGGGGAGCGTTGCCTCCTGCCTGAGCACATAGCGCACAGCAGCAGAGGGGGAGGTTGAGAGGGTGGGCTCTGGACCCTGCGTGCCTGTGTCAGAACCCTGGCCTGTCACTCAGGGAACGTGTGACCCTGGGGAGCCACGAGGATGATGAGAGCACTGCAGTGCCTTAGCTGTTACCACTCCCCTTGTCCGCTGGGCTCGCTGTGCTTTGACGACATCACTGAGCTGCTCTGGGCGCTCAGAGGAGACAGGTCAGGGATTATCCAGTTACGTTTGGGGAGACCCCGGGACCCACAGGTGCCGCATCACTCATCTGACTCAAGGGTGGGCTGGACATCTTTGCAGAGCCTTTTACACTGGGCAAAGCCTCCATGAGCCACCATCCCCATGTTTCCTCCGCTCTCTCCCTGTTGCACATCCCCACGTGCCTCGGAAGCACTGTCACATTTTTATTATTGCTCAGAGCCTGCTTCTTTGATAGACTGTGGTCTCTGCGAGGGCAGATCCCACATCTGTCTCATTTCCTGATCAGCCCTAGAGCCTTGCGTGGTCCACAGAGCAGTTCAATGCATGTTAGTTGACTGACTGACTGACAGGCTGAGCCACCCGCCTTAAGTTGGTCTATGATGTTCAACTCTATCCTATGCCTCCTGATAAGTTTTGCCTCCTTGCTGGGGCTCAGGCTGTGGAATCTGAGGACACACCCCCTGGGTTCCCATCACAGCTATGCCCTTGCCTCGCTGGCTGAACTTGAGCTTGGTTTCCTAATCTGTGAAATGAGGGTGATGACAGTACCTACCTACACGGGCTGTTCCCAGATTAAGTGAGGCCATCCGGGTAAGTCCCTCGGAGCTCTGCCTCCGACCAGTGCGTCCCATCCACGTCAGTTACTCTCATGCTTCTTGCTGCTCCGGGAGGCATCACCAGGCAACGAAAACAGTGACTGGGACACATGGAACCTGGTTCTGGCTCATCTCTGACTTTCCGTGTGATGTTGGGCAGCACCTCGCCTGCTCTGAGCCTCAATGTCTCCACTGGTGAGGAGAAGAGCTCCAGAGCCCCTTCCACTTAGACCCTCCAAAGTCTATGTTTGAGCCTCTCCAGTCCTGGGAGTGTCGGCAATGCCAGGGAGCCCATGGGAGGTACAGGCTCCTGGACCCATGCCTAGACTCTAACTCCCTTGGTGCAGGCTGGGCCCTGGGCTCCTCTGGGCTGAGGGGAGGCCCTTTTCTGTCTTGTTCTGGAAGCCCAGGTTTGGTTAGGCCCTTACAGGACTAGGCATATACTTGGTGTGGCCCTGTGGGCCAGTGGTCGAGATCCCAGTGGGGCTCTGCAGCCAGAACACCCGGTTCAAATTCACTCGCTTACTGGCTGCCGTATGACCTTGGGCAAGTTCTTTAATATCCCTCTACCTCAGTTTTCTTATCTATAAAACGGGGCAAAAATAGTACAAACTCATTGAGTAGGCTATATTAATTAACTTCTGTAAAGTGTGTAGACCAAGGACTGACACAGAGTAGGCCCTCAAAAAAGTCAGGCATTTTTCCAAGCTTAGAGGATCTGGGCATTCAGAAAAAAACGCCTAAATTTTACCAGTCTTCCCTCCTACAAGGCTGGTGTGTCCCAGTTTACAAAGCCCTTCTGGTCCACCATGTGCAGGCTATGCCAAGATGAGGAAAACTAAGGCCCAGAGAGGGGCAGACACCTACCTCCTGTCACACAGGAGGAGTGGCCAAGCTAGACCAGGCCAAGTCTCCTGCCTTCCAGCAAGTTCACCCTCAGCGCCTCCCTGGTTTCCAAGGCCTGCTGGCCTGCCCTCTCACCCCGGCCCCCTGGGAGCCTGATCCCAGGTCCGTGGGGTCTGCAAGTCTGGTCTGGATTAGACACGCTGAGAAGCAAACGCTGGTCCCCCCAGCAGGCCGCCTGGCGGGACCCGTGCTCCCAGCTGCTGAGGCTCACAGGGACATAAATCATGGTGGCAGCAGCTCGGGGGCCAGGACCACCTTAGCCTCCTGGAGAGCACAGAGGCCTGAGCGTCCTGAGCAGGGCGGCCTGGGTCCACCGGCATATTTTCCATCCTCTGTTGGAGTAGCTGAAGCAAGGAAGGGTCAGAGGGGGCCAGGAGACCATTTGGCAGCCCTCACGTCCTCCTGGGCCAAGCTCTCCACTTTGTCTTATCATTTTGCAATCACTTGCAAACACACAGAGAAGGGACAGAACTAGTGCAGAGAACTCCCATATGCTCCGTGCCCAGATGCACCAGCTTTTAACTGTGACACCTGCTTTATCCTTTTCTTGCTCACACGTATTATTTTTTTCTGAACCATCTGAGAGTCGTTCATGATGCCACGTTCATCTACCCTGTGGTACTTCAGGCTGTATTTCTTAAGCACAAGGATATCCTCTTACATAAGTAGACTGTTAGCAAATTCAGAAAATATAACATTGATACAATACTTTTATCTAGTCTATTGTTCTTCTCCGAAGTTTGTCAACTGCCTGATAACGTCCTCTGTAGCATTTCCGGCCTGCAGTCCCGGCTCAGGTCTAGGACCATGTGTGGCACCTTGCTGTCCAGGTCTAGACTTTTATCAGGAGGTAAAACACGTGGGAGCAGGACACACAGACTGGGCTGAAGGAAGATGTTCAAGTTGACATGCATGTCCTGTGAAATGATGTGTTTGTAAATCCTCTAATATTTAATATTCTCAGGATAATGCATCATACTTGTGACTGCGTATGGGAGCCTGAGTTAACTTGCTAAATAGGCCACAGTTTCCAGAATTTCGTTTTGTGGTGTTTTTATTTTTTAATTTAATAGGAGCCTCATGAAATGGAAGTGGCCTGGGCCAGTGACGGAACTTAAGGTGGTGTAGGAGCCCTGGGCTGGAGGAAGGGGCCTTGCAGTCTCAGCCCTGCTCAGCTTCAAATGCTGTGCAATGGTGGCCCATCGCTCTCCCTCTCTGGGCTTTGGTTTCCCCATTGCCATGGGCGACCTGAGGCCTTCCCACTTGCAATTGTGGAATTAGGGAAGAGAGCCCTGAGTGACAAGGAGGGAGACCTGGGTTCCCGGTGGCCCAGCAGGGCTGAGCGCTCGCTGGGGGACCTCAGGCAGGTTACTTCCTCTGTACGGGCTGTCTCCTTATTGTGAAATTCTGGATCATTCTTGTGCTGATGCTCCTCGTGTCTAAGAAGGTTTGGGCGGAGGGTGTGACCTGAAGTGTAAGCCTCCCCTTCAGGGTCCCGGGTGGCCGGGCTGACATTGGTCATTCCACCCTCCTCAGCCCTGGATTTCTTCTCCCTGAGCTCCTTTACTCCTTTGACTCCGAGTTGGCCCTTACTCGGGGAGCCTGGAGAAGCCTGGCTGGGCTGGTCCGTCCTGAAGGCGGAAAGTGCGTGTATGCGGGCAGGGCTGTTAGGCAGATGGCCTCAGAGGTACTGGTCCTCAGCTGTGCCTCTCCCAAGCCACGTGTGTTGGGCTGGCCTTGCAGCTCACCAAGGCTCATAGACATGAACTGTCTATCACCCCGAATGAGGCTCAAGGAAGACAGCAAGCTGCAAAAAGTTAAGAATGGAGAACAGAAAATGCACAACGGAGCACTACACTGCTGTGAAAAAGTTATGAAGCAGCTCTTTGAACGCTGAAGAATCTCTAAGACACATTGTTAAGGGAAGAAAACTCCAGGTGCAGAACTGTGCGTAAGATGCTACCGCTTGTGTGGAAAAACCAGATGCACGTGACTTGCTTGTGTCTGCAAAGACGATCCCTGCAGGAACGCACAAGACCCTGGGTAGCGGAAATGGCCTCTGAGGACTGGGGCTGAGTGGCTGGGAGGGAAGGAGAATTATTGTCAGTGGATTCTCTTTGGTGTCTTTTGAACTGTGAACTCTGTTAAGTGTGTTATCTATTTCAAAGGAAATACAATGGAAAGAACCCCGTCTGGGTGGGATGTGCGCGATGTCCGCAGGATGCTGACAACCACGTTTCTCAATGGGCATGCTGGGTCCACAGGTGAGCTCGGCTTGTGGAAACTTGCTGAGCCGTACACTCAAGGCCGTGTGCTCCTTCCTGAACGGTGTTACACCTCCATCAAAAGTTGTAACTTAGTATCCTGTAAAGATTGTTTAAGTGTATGCTTTGTAAAATCTCCACAGTGTGACAGTGTTCACGTGGTTGTCTTTGGGTGATATTTCTAGGGTCGTGTAGCACTTTAATTTTTTTACAATGAAAACAGAAGCAGAGAAACCTGTAAGTACTCTTTTAGAAACAGTAATCAGTTCAGAGCATTTCTGGAAGGACACACAGGAAACTGCTAAGCAGTTGCCTTTGGGGAGGAGCCTGAGGGAGGTATGTACTTTTCACTGTGTACTATTGGATACAACTTGAGTTCTTACCCCCGCCACACACCGCCCCCCGGCATAAACGGTCTATTAAAAACTATTTAACAAGGCAAAACAAATAATTATCATTCTGTCCCAGCTGTTCTTGTTGGTTAGAGATCAGCCGAAGGAGGCCCAGAGGGGTCAAGCAACTTCTCTGGGGTCACCCAGCAAATCTGGTGGCAGAAGCGGGCCTCCAGCCGAGAGCACCCAAGTGTCTGCTGTGCCCTGACTCCCAGGCTTCCTGCCATTGACGAGGTCACAGTTCTTTTCCTGTGGCTTTGCCAGGGGCTGCCTGGACCCGGACTTGGGTAGGCGCAGAGAGGGCAATGTGCTTTCCTAATTAGCTCCCACAGGGGGAAGCATGCTGCACTGGGACACAGGATAGGCAAGGCCAGCGTCCCTGGACACAGGGGAAGCTCTCCCGGGCAGGACCCGGCTCCTCGGCGCCCTCCTTCCTGAACTTGTCATACTAAACGGGGTCAATGCCGTGGTTTCACGGCCCACTCCAGTCTGGACCAGCAATTCCAGCCACCCCCTCATACTACTGGGGTCTGGTTTTTCGTCTGTGAGGCAGACGGGGTGGGTCTGGCCCACCCCTGTCATGTCTGGCACGGAGCAGGTGCTTGGCAATCTGTCTGTTGATCTGCAAAATGGGCAGCCCCTCCAGCTCAGTCAGAAGGTCAAACTTTGCAGGGGGTGACAGAGCAGAGTGGACACGAGAGTGGACTCTGGAGCCTGGCTTCCATCGGCAAATGCTAATTAAGTGTTTGTTAAATACATAAGTTTTAAAAACAGGCATGGGAGCGCACCCTAAGGGAAGGGCGGCTGCCCGGCTCTGCGGCCTCTCCTGGCCCCTCTCCCTGCGTTCTCCACCTTCCGGCCGCCTGGGCTTCTCTGATCCTGGCCTCACAGGGACAGAGCCCCAGCCGGAGAACCAAGAACTCCTGGCCCTGCTGACGGCTGTGCCCGTCACCATCTCGGCTGAATCTGTGCAAGGGGGACACACCAGCCCCCACCTCCCAGCGCTGCTGGAATAATCGGGGTCACGGGGGCTGGCACCCACTCTGGAGCTTCTCCAGGACAGTGGATGGAGCTCACTTGGGGCTTTCAAGGTGGACAGACCTCACATCGTCACCCTGCCATGCGCCAGCCACACGCCTCTGGGCGTCATCATCCTTCCAAATCATCTCAGCTAAAAGAGGGTCAGAACAGCCCCTTAGCACATACTTGTTTGCACACGTGGAAATCTGCGTGCCTCTAGAGCCCTGTCTGTGAAGACTTGGATAAGGGATGCTTCACCGTCTGGTACATTCACAAAGTCAACAAGCAGCTACGAAAGGACCGTGAGTGAAACCCTTTACCTCGTGTACAGACTCAGGATGACAACCAAGCTGATTAGAAAAAAAAAAAAAATGCATGGAGCAGAAAGCATGTACAAAGTGCTACCCTTTGTGTAAAGTGGAAGAAAACTTAAATATATATATATTTTTCTTTCTCTGTATTTGCTTGGTTTTCATAAGGAGTGAGGATGTCACAAAAAACCGGTGGCTGAGGCTCCTGCAGGGAGAACTGGTGGCTGAAGGACAGGAGGGAGAAAGACTTTTCATCCTATACCCTCTTGTACCTTTTGAATTTTGAACCATGTGAATGAATATGTTCCTTATTCAAAAATAAATAAAATTAAGATTGCTTTGCCAGCCGCACCAGACGCCTAACAGCTGTTCAGGAAGACTGTGAGCAAAGTTTGGTTATCTCGACTTCTGGAGAGGCGGGTCCTCCTGACCCCACCACCTCCAGGGCACAAGGCAGCACCTGCCACATCTGGGCCTCAGCCAAGGTCCAGGAGAGTGGCTACCCCTGACCTCTGATGTCCCAGGTCCCTCCCTTCTTCAGTTTGGAACATCTTTTATTTAAAAATACCTTTTATTTTAAACCCATCCATTATCTCTCTCACACACACACACACACCTCAACGCACGCACAGACATGCACACATCCTATCACCAACAGTCTTTGTTTTTCCAAAAGTTCTGCCTTGCCTCTGACCAGCCAGGGCTGGGGCTGGCTGGCTGGGTCCTCTCAGCTCTCCAGGGTGGGGTGGAGATGTCCCAGGGGGCCTGCCCAGAGGGTCATGGGCCTAGGCCATTGTCCTCTGGTCCCCACACAAAGAAGGCTTGGGCTTGGATCCTGGGGTCTTCTTTCCTGTCTACCAGTGGCTGGCCTCTGGCCTTCTTCTCCGGGGTCCTGCTTGGAGCAAACGCCACAGGGGTCCTGGCTCATCTCCGAGGCACTCGAAGTGGGGCCACTCCCCTCACCTTCAAGCAGCTACCCCCCAGGTCACGACGGCCACCCTGTAGGAGGTGAGAAAGATGTATTAGGAGGTTCCATCAGGTCACAGTGAAAACGGGAACTAACCTCTGCGTCCAGCAATAGGGGACTTGATAAATAAATCACAGTTAGCTACACAATCAAGTTCTCTGCAGCAGAAGGCAGAAGACACCTGTTATGGATCAACAGGGAACGAGATCAAGATAACATTGTTTGAGGACAACAGCGAGAGCGCAGTGAATGTTCCTGTGTGCTGAGATGGAGAGAAGGGCACATGGGAAAGTGCTAATGGACTTCCTCGCAGAAGAGGAATTTGGTGATGGGGAGACAGGATGGGAGCAAGGCTTTTTCACTCTATATGCTTTTTTACCTTTTTCATTTCTTCCCCCATGTGATTTGTGGCTTAGAAAAAAATCCAACACATTTTAAATCATAATATTTTACACTAAAGGGCAAAACAAACAAAGCCCACAGTGGTCGTCCCCACTACCTGACGGTGCCCAGTTACTCCTCAGCCTGCAAAAGTAGACCATGGATGTCTGGCCTTCCTGCCTTCACTCAGGGTGTTCCCTCTGCCAGGAACATGCTCTCCGGTCCTGGCTCTGTGGGAAGGTTTCTTGATTCCTGTAATTGCCTAGCACTTCCAGGAACATTCCACCAGGATAAAACTCAGGAGGGGAAGACGGGGCTGCTCCTTTGTGTCCCCATCAGGCTGGGAGCTCAGGGGGAGGCAGGGAAAAGTTCACTCTGTGGCCCCAGCTCCAGCCCAGAGTCTGGCATGGAGCAGGTGCCAAGCAATGCAGCCTGAATCAGTGGTGCCCACTGGAAGACAAGATGATGGTGGCAGCCCCTGAAGCCACCTGACCCTCATGCCACAGGGGCAGTCTCCACCTGATATTCTGAGGTCTGACCCATGGGTTTCATCCTCACTGGAAGCCAGAGAGGTCACAGACATGACAGTCCCCCCTTCTTTCAAAGGCCTCCAGCTGTTGAATGACTGGCCCAAAGGCACCCAGCCAGCCGGTGAAGGAGCTGGGCTAGAGATCCATGTCGTCCAACAGTCTGTCCAGCATCCAGGACACGAAGGTGACTGAAGCCCCACTGTAAATGCCCCCCCCCCCCCCCACCAAGCCTGGCCAGGAGAGGACAGGACAGGCATCTTTCTCAGCCATCCAGAGAAAGAGCTGACCATCTGGGAGCTCTGGCCCCTGCCCCTCCACCCCTGGGCCCAGGTTGGGGCAGAGCCATCCAGATGCGAGCCCAGCCTCCCTCGAGGCTCTCCGGGCCCAGGGACAGCGTGTTCATTCACAGGCAGGGCTATTTTGAGGGCTGAGGCCACAGTCCCAGCAGAGCCTGGGGCTTGGGGTTCTCAGACAAACTCTGGCAGGAGTGGCTGAGAAGGGGGGAAGGAGGTGGGGGAGGGCGATGGAGAGGTTGGGGGATAGAAAACCAGCCTCCCACCCTTTCACTGGATGTCCTCAGGCACAGGGAGAGCCACCTCCACCCCAAGTCTGGTGGTCACCAGGAGACATCGGTCCCATGAGACTACTGAGACTGTTGACCTCCTGGAACCTCAGTTTCTTCATCTATGAAACGGGGACAAAATGATTCTACTTGCCGCCCCAGGGCGCAGCCCAAGGCAACGCAGCTGTGAAAGAGGCTTGTAAGCTGCCGGAAGCACTAAGAAGAGGGCCTGACTAGGCCCCAGCTTCTTCGGCCCCTAGGAACTCAGCGTCAAGGGCTCTGGGAAGCCCCGTGGTTAGGAGCTGGGCTGGCGTGAGACAGAGCGGGGCTTCAGTCTCTCCTCCGCCATGGACCACCTGTTGGACCTCAGGCAAGTGCCTTCACCTCACTGGGCCTCAGTTTCCCACGTGTAAAGTGGAGTTACTGTGAGGATGACACAGTGAACACGGGTAAAGCATTTAGCACACTGTCAGGAATGTCGAAAGTGTTTAATGAATGTTCACAGCATTATTGTCGACATCACCTGGTAATGCCGCCTCCTCACCCTGCCATCCCGTACCACTTCTTCTGCTCCCCAGCTGAGGACACCAAGTGGGGACACCTCACAGAACAATCCTACCCAACCCCCAACCCCAGGTGCCAAACGGGAAAACAGGGCAGAGACAAGAATCCCCTTTCCATCTCCCACTTGCTATTTCTACCACTGAGGGCCACACCTAACCTCTCCTTAAACAGAAAGATGCTACAGGGAGCTGTTTCCATGTGACCTCAACCCCAGATCAACCAGGTGGCTCAGACTGAAGGGCCTTGGAGCTCTCTGGCCCACAAAGCCCTGGGTTCCTGAGACAGCCAGTGTTCTTCCATCGAATCTTCAAGGGGCCAGAGCTGGCCAGGATTGTCCCTTTCGCCTATTCCCAGAGGAGACTGTGGGGGTGAGAGCATGGCTTTTGTAGCCAAATTTGGCTGGATTCTTAGTCCTGCAGACAGGTCTCAGGGAAGCAGCCAGATCCAGACGAGGCCCCGTGATCTGCGGCACAGGTCTGAGACCAGCAGAGAGGCCCCCAGCCTACCAGCCGTGGTGTGCACATGTGACAGACACACCTTCTCCCCCAGGCCTGCAGGCACGGCGCCTCCCATACTTCTTGATCGGCAGGCCTGAGTTCGAATCCTGGCTCCATCACAGGCTGTGTCTCTGAAGCAGCGGCAGCATCTCTAAGCAGGGGGGACCAGAGCAGCTCCTTCCCCCGACGCTGAGGGGTTTTAATGATAACGCGTGAAGAGCGCTCGGCACAAGAGACCAGTGCTCAGTGAGACCGCTGCGATGGCTATCACCGACCAGTCTTGGACTCTGCTCTGAGCTCTGCCACCGTCAGTGTCTTCCCTTTGCCCTCTCTAGGCTGTGTTTTCTGACCCCAGCTCTTGCTGCGCCCGGCTCTGAGAACGCCTGCCCCTACTTCCTCACCTGCCTACCTCCACTCCAAAGCACGGGTCAGGAATTTAGCCCCGGGTCGGGGGCTTCCTCTGGGTTCTGATGGTCCCTTTGTGCCCCCCACCCCCAACATCAGACCTCAGCATCCCTGTCTTCATCTCCTTGCCCTGGTGCCATACTGGGAGTTCCCGACTGTGGTAGGTGGGGACCCATAACCTGCTTCTCTGGGAATGTCCTCAGAGCCAACAAAAGGTGGCTACGGGGTAGCTAAGGTTTGCTGAACTGAATGAATGCGTGACAGGCGGTCAAGGAAGACCACTGAGGGCCCAGTCAACCCTTCACTCCCTACGCTGGACGCCTGTAGGCCCATCTGGCTTCCCAGCCCAGCCTGGAGCACTGACCAGGGCCCAAGCTGGGAGCGGCAGGGACCTCAAGAGAGTCCAGGTCCGAGCCTAAGACTGACTCAGGGAGACTGAGGCAGCTACGGGGGGAGAGGCAGGCTGGGAGTCGGACGAGGCAGAAGGGAGCAGTCTGAGGCCAGGACTCAGAGACTTCCCCAGAACAAACTGAAGCAGGGGACCTAGGGCAGCCGTGAGGACCACAGACTAGGGACTTAAGAGGCCTGACTCCAACCCCCCATGCTCTTTCACTTTCCAAAAGGCTGTGGCCACTCAGGGACCCTCTCAGCCTCAGTTTCCCCAGATGTAAGTGGTAGCTGCTGGAATCCAAGCTGTCACACAGACAAGCTTCCTGGTCTGTAGGAAAGGCCCAGGCCAGAGCGGGAAAGGCTGGGGGTGAAGCAGGCTCGCCAGGGCCTGGGCAGCGGCAGAGCCAGCTTTCAGCCAGGAGAGCCCCCAGCAACCTCCGCTGCTAGCCAGCCCCATCCATCATCCCCTAGCAGCCTGGTTCTCACCCCCACCTAGGACACACCACAGGAGCTAGGCCAGCTCTGCCCAGCTGACTCAACAGTGCCCTCCCCAACCCTCCATCCCTTTTAGGGCTGCGTGCCCTCAGGGACCCCCCTCCTTCACCCCTACTGCTCATCAGCTGGGTACCTCAGGTGTCCCCTTGCCTTTCCAGTCTCCTGCCCATCGGTCAGGTCTTTGGATGGGGCACAATCATTTCACGGTAGGGATAGCCAGGGCCACACACGCCCAGCAAACCCAGCCCTGCGTTCTGGCTTCCTAGCAGAGTGAATGCGGGAGTGGGGTTACACCTCTCTGAGTTTCAAATCCTCAGCAGTGATAAAACCGGCACAATGAGCTGCCTGGCAGGGCTCTTACGAAGATTAAAAAAAAAAAAAAAAGAGGAATACATCCCGCACACAGGAAGAGCTCCGTAAATGACAGCCTTTGTTATTCTTTCCTCACGCCCTCTTCCCAACACCCTTTAGTTGGAAGGGGCGCTCTCGATGAGCGATCTCCATCCTCTAAGTCATGCCCTAGCTCTGGGCTTCCCTGCACCCCTTCTGTCCAGGGGACATTAAGCGAATGATTCTGTTCCACACCAAACCCTGGGCTTGCAGCGCCGCACCCCCGACGATCTCCACGTCGCTCCCTCCTCTCTGCACTGGGGTCTCTGCCTCTCTCCTGCTCCCTAGGAGGCCCCGGCCCCCGTCGCCCCCGGCCTCCGCCTCCGCAGGAGCGAGCTCCGCGCACTCACCCCCTTGCGCTGGTTGCTGAGGCAGAAGGTGCAGATGGAGCGCGGCTGGCGGCCGCCGTCGGGGGCGGCGGGGATCGCGCTCTTGGCACTGCCGGCCGCCCGGAAGCACGGCTGCCCGTCGTCGGCCGCGTCGCCCAGCAGCAGCACGTTGGCCAGGTGCGCGATGTAGCTGGACGCCAGGCGCAGCGTCTCGATCTTGGACAGCTTGCGGTCCACCGGCTCGGTGGGGATGAGCGTGCGCAGCGCCGTGAAGGCCGTGTTCACGCTCTGAGTGCGGTCCCGCTCCCGCGCGTTGGCCGCCTGCCGCTGTCGCACCACCACGACCGGGCCCGCGCCGCCGCCGCCCGCCCGCCGCCCGCCCCCGGGGCCCGGGCCGCGCCGCGCCGCCTCCAGGCCCTCGCAGCAGCCGAACGACTGGTCGGAGGCGTCGCTCTCGCTGCGGTTCTCCTCGTCCTCGCTCAGCAGCCGCACGTCCGGGTACAGCACGTGCGCGCCGACGGGGCGCAGCAGCGCGAACGCCATGGGCGCCCGGCCGCGTCCCTCGGGGCGCCGCGACCCAGCGTTTCCGCGCCCCGCCGTGCGCTCCCGCGCGCTCCCACGGCCCCGCCGGCCGCCGCCTTATAGCCGAGGGAGGGGCCAGTCACTCGGCCGCCCCGGCCGGGGCGGGGGGGCTCCGCGCTGGCCAATCGGGAGGCGCCCGCCGCGTCCCGGCCAATGGCGACGCGCCCGCCGCCCCCGTCCTCCAGGTTGAAAGCGGCCCGCGAGCGGGTGGCCCGCCCTGTAGGCCTGAACGCTCCGGGTCCCCGCGGGCGAGCCGCGCAAATGCCGGGGGTCTGCGGGGGTGGGGTGGGGTGTGCCCAAATCTGGACTCCGGATGCTCAGCCTAGACCCTCTAGGAGACTGCGGCAGGTCCCTTCTCTCTTGGCTTCAATTTCTTCGTCCGGGAAGAGGAACCCGCTTGGGTTTTCTGCCCGCGAATTCTAATACCGTGGTTCTGCAACTCTCGTGTGTGTAGGAATTGCGGGAGGAGGGCTTTTGACTCTGTGGGTTCCCGGATTCCCTCCATTCTAATTCAGCAGGTCTGGAATGGGGCCCAGGAATCTGCATTCTGTACAGGGTGGTGTCCACCGAGAGCACTTGGAGAAACACGATAATCTGTCCAAATAAGGATTCGACGGTGTCACATCCCTGACGACAAACTTGAAAAAACAAAAGCAAAACAAAAACAAAACACAAACGCCGGTAGCTCCATTCACTTATTTATTCATTCAACGAATATTTGTTGGGTCCCTACTATGCGTCAGGCGCGGTTTTAGGTCTGAGGATAGAGACGTGAACAAAAAAAACTCTTTGCCTTCACAGAGTTGACATTTGGGTTGAGGACCTGCTGTGTGCCAGACATGGTACTGAGGACCTTACTGATCTTTACTGCTTCTCCTGAAGTTATGGGCGAGTGCCCCCGATTTACAGAGAAGCGCTCTGGCCCTCTCTCTTACAAGTGGTGAGTGGGGGCACTAGTCCCAGGCTGTATGGCTTCCCATGACCCCTGTCCCCCACATCTTCCCCAGTAAAATCCAGGTTTCTATCCCTCACTCCCCACAATCCCACCTTGGGCTGGCGTGGCCTCCCTGGCTCTGAAGCCACGCCCCTCTGCGCTCTGCTGTTCCGTGTGCTCCAAACGCGCCCCCCACCCCTTCCCGCCCCCGGCTCGTAGAGGCTGTCTTCCCTCGTTGTCTGCCTACCTTCGGAAACTTCGGATTGTTCAGCCCGACACGGCCTTCTCCTCAGATGCCCTGGGAAGAAATACTGGCTGTTGGGGTCCCCATGTTGCTCATGGCCCCCTCCCAGCTCAATCCTGGGGAATGGACAAGCCTGCAGCCCCTTGGTCTTGAAAATAACTTTGTCTTCAGCCTAAATGGCAACCCATGTGGCAGAGAGAGCGCATGGAGTGGAGCTGAAAGGCTCCTAAATGCGTTTTGGCTCCGTCTTCCTTTCTGGGCCTGAGCTGTCTTGAAGACGCCTCCCGGCTCTGCCACGCGCTGCTGTCCTGGCTTTCCTGACGCAGGCCGGAATGGGGGAGGGCGGCTGGAGGGTTTCCCGTGGCTGCTGGGAGAGCAGCCCCTTAAGTCCTCAGGCCCCAGGGTCTGCGGGAAAGTCTGTTCCCACACCTGGCTCCCCCCACCCCCATTTGACCGTGACCCGGGCCAGGCTGGGCTTTGGGGAGGAGGAGAAGGAGCCTGCGCGGCCCCCTCCCCGCAGGGCCGGTCCGCTCGCAGCCCCAGGCCAGGCTGCTGCTTCCTGAGCCGATGAATTATTACCGGGAGATTTCCTTCCCTGTCTGCGCCTCCTCACAGGGGCTCCCGGTTCCCTTCACTTTCGCTTTCTCCCCCTTCTCCCCCTCTCTTCTGCTCTCGACCCTCAGGCGGCTTGAAATTCCTCCGTCCGGCCCCCTCTCCATTCCAGCGCGCCATGGAGAAGCCAAGCAGGGCGTGCACCGGGCCGGGAAGGCAGGGTCCCCGGGAGCCTCATTCATTCATTTGCTCCCCAGGCAGGTTTTGACACAGGGGATCCTGGGAGTAAAATAAAACCATGAATGAGACTGAGACCGGCCTTCTGCAGCCCAGAGGGGAAGGCGAGCTGTAAACAAAGAATTCCAGGACAATGTGGTAGGAGCAAGCCCGGGTCTGGCATCAGAGAGACCCGGTTCCGGCCCCAGGTTAACTGCCTCTTGCAGTCTCAGTTTCCTGCTTGAAAACTGAGGATAATAATAGGACCCAGTCCTAGGGCTGATGATGGATCCCTGAGTTTATGCCAATAAAGCCAGGGCCTGGCACACAGGGAGCGCTCAACACCTGGAAGAGTTTGTGCTAGTGCTGGGGGCTGGCCCCGGGCCTGGGAAGGGACTGAGCTTGAAGGCCTTGTCTCTGGGAGTGGGCGGGGGGCCACTTTCTCAGCCCGCCCACACAAGGGGCTTCAGCTCCTCCCATCCTCTCTCTCACTCTGCTCCAGCCACACTGGCCGCCTCACTGTCCCTGGAGCCCACCTCTGCCTGGCACTCACTGTCCCCTGCTGTCCACGTAGCTTAGTCCTTTACTGCCTCCAGATCTTTCCTCAAATCTCCTCTCCTCTGGGAGGCCTTCCCTGACCACTGAGACTGGAACAACTGCTGCCCCTCCCGCCCCCAGCACCCCATGGCTCTCCCTCTGCCCCTTACCTGCTCACTTCTCTCCATAGCATTTACCACTGCTTTTACTCATTCATTTATTCGCTCCTCTATAGATGTTAATTGAGCACCCACTGTGTGCCAGGCACAGTTCTGGGTACTGAGAAAACAGTGGTGAACACACTGTCTACCTGCTGTTTCTCTCCACTAGAATATAAGCTTCGTGGGGCAGGGACTTGGTACTTTGCTCATCTCCCTCCCTCCCATCACAACCTTCCAAGGTAGGTATTGTTATTACACCCATTTTACAGATGAAGAAACTGAGGTTCGGAGTGGAGAAAGCGACTCGTCTGAGGTTACCCAGTGGGCGAGTTGGGGAGCTCAGGTCAGTCTTCCCCAGCCACCGGGCCCTGCAACCACTGATCTTTTTATTGTCTCCATAGTTTTGCCTCTTCGAGGATGTCATATAGTTGGAATCATACAGTGTGTAGCCTTTTTGGATTGACTCCATTCACTTAGTAATATGCATTTAAGATTCCTCCAGGTCTTTTCATGGCTTGATAGCTCATTTCTTTTTAGCACTGAATAATATTCCATTGTCTGCATGGACCAGAGTTTATTTATCCATTCACCTACTGAAGGACAGCTTGGTGGTTTCCACGGTTTTGCAGTTATGAGTCAGGCTGCTATAAACATCCCTGGGCAGGTTTTTGTGTGGACGTGGTTTTTAATTCCTCTGGGTGAGTACCAAGGAGTGCGATTGCTGGATAGTATGATCAGAGTATATTAAGTTTTAAAGAAACCAGCAAACTGTCTTCCAAAGTAGTGCACCATTTTGCATTCCCACCGGCAATAGATGAGAGTTCCTGTTGCTCCACACCGTCACCAGCACTTGGCATTGTCAGATTACGGCCATTCCAATGGGTGTGTAGTGGTATCCCATTGTTCTTTTAATTTGCATCTCCCCAATGGTGTATGATGTGGAGCATCTTTTCATATGCTTATTTGCCATCTGGATATCTTCTTTGGTGAGGTGTCTGTTAAGGTCTTTGGCCTATTTTTTAATCAGGTTATTTTCTTCTTGTTAAGGTTTAAGGGTTCTTTGTTTATTTTGGATAACAGTCTTTTATCACATGTGTCTTTCGCAAATGTTTTCTCCCAGTCTGTGGCTTGTCTTCTCATTGTCTTGACGTTGTCTTTTGCAGAGCAGTTTTTAATTTTAATGAAGTCCAGCTTATCAGTTATTTCTTTCATGGATAGTGTCTTTTGATGTTGTATCTAAAAAGTCATCGCTGTACCCAAGGTCATCTAGATTTTCTCCCATGTTATCTCCTAGGAGTTTTATAGTTTTGTTTTACATTTAGGTCTGGGATCCATTTTGAGTTAGTTTTTGTGAAGGGTGCAGGGTCTGTGTCTAGATTCGTGTTCCTGCATGTGGATGTCTGGTTTTTCCAGTGCTGTTTGTTAAAGAGACTGTCTTTGCTCCGTTGTGTTGCCTTTGCTCCTTTGTCAAAGATGAGTTGACTATATTTCTGGGGGTCTATTTCTGGGCTCTCCACTCTGTTCCATTGATCTATTTGTCTGTTCTTTCACCAATACCACAATGTGTTGATCACTGCAGCTTTATAGTACGTCTTGAGGTCGGGTAGTGTCAGTCCTCCAACTTTGTTCTTCTCCTTCGATATTGTGATGGATATTCTGGGGCCACTGTAATATATATATTTTGGTGAGGAAGATTGGCCGTTAGCTAACATCTGTGCCAATCTTCCTCTATTATGTGTGTAGGTCCACCTCCCGGATCCGAATCTACAAATCCCGGGCTGCCAAAGTGGAGCGCGCGAACTTAACCACTATGCCATTGGGCTAGCCCCCAACTGTAATATTTTTGATGCATATCTTTGAATATGTATGTGTCCTTATCAACTGTATGGTGCTGATTTGTGTGAGTGGGTTATTAATTTGCACAAATGGCAGTTTCTATAGATGTGTTTCTTAGGTTGCTTTGTTTACTCGACACTGTGTTCTGGCCGCTGAGTCTCACAGGAGTCCATTGCTTCTAACTGCTGCTTGGTGTGCATGGTGTGCGTGTGTCCGCCATGCCTCTTTTCTCCATTCCCCGAGTGATGGACACTGTGGCCACATCCAGCTCCTGCCTCCACAAGCAAAGCTTGATGAACTTCCGGTGCGTGACTCTCACAGACTCCTGTGTGTGTGTCTCTGGGATATACACCCCGGGGCAGGATTCCAGAGGTGGAGAGAATACACCCCCTTAGCCTAAGCACTGTCTGATGCACCCTAGGATGGCTGCCGCAGTCCACATGCCCAGCAGTGCGTGAGGGACCGCTTTCCCCCACGTCACCCCTGGTGCTTGGAATTATCTGACTTCCTGTTTTATTCGGCCTTTCTCTGATGACAGAGAAATGGGTTGTTTTCCGTC